GTTGGAGACTTAGCTGTTGGCGAAGGTTGGAGACTTATCGTCTCTCTCTCTCTCTCTCTCTCTCTCTCTCTCTCTCTCTCTCTCTCTCTCTCTCTCTCTCTCTCTCTCCTCTCTCTCGCACACACACACACACACACACACACACACACACACACACACACACACACACATTCCATCCATAGAATGTCATTGAGCAAAAACAAAATGAATCTTCCGCTGAAACGTGGAAATATACACTGCCACTTTTTGATTAGCTCATTCTATTGAGTGCGGCTTATCGGCTCTCTCTCTCTCGCACGCACACACACACACACACACACACACACACACACACACACACACACACACACACACACACATTCCATCGATAGGATGAGCAAAAACAGAATGAATCTTCCGCTGAAACGTGGAAATATACACTCACTTTTTGAGCAAAATCGGAATGAATCGTTCGTGTGTGTGTGTGTGTGTGTGTGTGTGAGAGAGAGAGAGAGAGAGAGAGAGTTGTCGTGCCCTCGTTTCTGCTGCGTGCTCGCGACGCACGCGACACTCCATGTCGTCTGTTTTCGTTGCCTGCCCGCGTCGGCTCGGCCCTCCGCCCCTTGCCCGCTTTGCTTTTCCCTGCCCGCTACTTTCCCCGCCCATATCTGCGCGGGCCTCGGCCTTGGGCCGGTTCCCCCACGTCGGCTCGGCCCTCTGCCCCTTGCCCACTTCGCTTTTCCCTGCCCCCCGCGACGGTCGACACCTCCTCCCGACCGCAGTGTCCCAAGCGGTTTCTGTTGGGCCCGCGACGGACCATGTCGCCAGACCCTTTGCTTGCTTTAGTATGTATAGAGATAGCGGGTCTGGCGTCACGCTCCCGCCAGGCCCGGCTGCCACTCTTGGGAACGAATCTTGGACACTAGGGATGGGCCCGGCAGACACCCGGGGTGTCATTTTTTTTTTTTTTCCCTCTTTTGCCTCGCGCGTGCCGTGGTCGGATCCGTAGCGTGGCTCCAGAAGTTTCTCGCGCCCAGCGCCGCGAAGTGGGGAGATACACTGGTCGTTCGTATGAGACTGAATTCCTCTCAGGAACGTGGGGAGATACACAGGTTCCCTTTTGTTCGTTTGTTTCGTTTCTTTTTTTTTTTTGTCGTTTTTGCCAGTTTCCTTTTGTTCCTTTCTTTCCTTTTCTTTCTTTTTTCTGTCTTTTTGAGGGTTTGATTTCGTCCCGCCCGTTGTTTTCGTTTTGGCCTGCCTCGGAGGGCCTCGCTGCACTGCTCTCCAAATGTGCAAATGAGACTGAATCCACTGCTAGAACATGGAGAAATACATTGCCATCTTTTTTGTCTTTTGCGCTACCAAGCGTTTTTCTTTTTTTTTGTCGTTTTGCGGGCCCTCCATCGGGGAGGTTGCGCAAGGATCGCATTTGCAAATCGAGGGGGACGTCGCACAGCTGCGAGTTCACGCACAGCTGCGATTTCACGCACAGCTGCGAGTTCATGCACAGCACCTGCGGCGCGTGTGTTGGACCAGGGCAGTGGACGGAGGGAGGGGCAACGAGAGGATCAAGAGAGGGACCAGCGGGAGGAGGAGGAACGGGATGAGAAGAGGGGGGGGAGGGGAGGGGAGCAGCAGGGAGGCACCGCAGAGGGAGCAGTGGGCGAAGAGTAGGTTTTCCACGGGGCTGCGCACTCCAATTAGAGGGGTTTTTGTATTCGGTCTTTGATCATGTAAAGTGCTTGTTCTGGGTGGACATAATCAAACCGATTCAGAAAATCTCGTTCGAAGGTCGGTAGATCAACCCATATATAGGTACTAAACCAATGGTGGGCGTCTCCTCCTAACCGAGCAGGAATGTTTATCTGTGCTTCGTACTCATCGTATTGTTGCGCCCTCAGGATGGCCAGCCATGCTCCTGCGAGATGATGGGCTGGATCGAATAGATAGAGATCTGGTGGCGTCATGGGAGCCCGTGCTCGGGGGACGGGTTGGTTAGGATTTGGTTGATTAGCATTCTGTTGTGGATTCGGGTTGTGTACATTAGCAGCCATGTTGGTTGCTCGTCGATTAGCCGATCTGCTTCGGGTGATGATAGGGTCGTGTCTATGCGCGTTCCGGGGGCGAGGTCGCCCTCGGTTAGCCAGATCGCCTAATTAACGTGCTATCAATCCTAAGACCCCGCCACGTGTAGGGCTCCGACACTAACCTCACGCCCAGCGCGACTTCCTGATCGATGGAGTACAACTCTCTCGAAAGCAAGGATGTCTGAGTTGGTAAGCGGATGCCTTCTGTTATGCATGACATGGATTGATAGAGCGAGACGGGGCGGGGCAAAGCGGGGCGGGGCGCAGCAGCGCAGAGCGGATAGGGGCTGGGGCATGGTTAGGTCGGGGCTGGGAAGCTGAGCGGGGCAGAGCTGGGGTAGCACGGGGAGCAGATGGGGTCGGGGGGGGGGGGGGGGGGGGGGAAATCGGGGGAGGTCGGAGAGGCTTGTACACGTGCACACACACATACAGAGGCTTGTTCACGCGCACAAGTCGATGCAGATGCACACATTCTCACGCACGTAACTGCATTGCAGAGAGCATTGTCATCGAGGCGCCAACCTCATCCTTCTTGCTCAGCCGCCGATCACTCCGCCCCATTGGTCCGTCTCCTCCTCATCATCGCCATGCTTCCAGGCATCTTTATCGTTGTCACGTGATCGGGCATAGCCCCAACATTATTGTTTTTACACGTCTATTGTAAAACGTGAGAGTCGGTACTGCCAAAAACTCAAAAAAAAAAAAAAACTCAAAGTACTGATCGTTTCATTCAGTTCCGGACAAGTACTGAGCAACCTGTATCGGACCGCAATCACAGCATAAGGAATGCTTTTTTTTTTTTTTTTTTTTTATCTGCTGTTCGTGGATGGACGAGGGCCCTGACTGAACTGCTACCTAAAGGCAGCCCGAGTTTCAACTGCAATTGAGACTCGGGCCCTGACTAAAAAAACTGCTAAAACGCAGTTTCAAATGCAATTACAAACTGCTTTCGTGACTGCGCCGTAGTTACCCCCCCCCAAAAAAAAACTCATAGCGACTTTCATTTCCGATTTTTTCTCTGGATCCGTTCTCCCCCTCTCGCCCGCTTACGATAGGAGAAAGTTCCACTTACCCCGAGTGTTAACCGCTTCTCGCCTTTGATCTCTTTCCAACTTACGATCCAGAAGGAAGAATCGAGGCAAGTACGGCATCACCGCTACAGTACCTCCACGTGTTCTCAGACTGCGATGGCGTGAATATGACAAGTCATTAAAGAATCTGTATACTGGGAAAAAAAATAAAAAATAAACAACGTAATCGGCGAGAACATGACAAGCTTTCAAGGAATTCGGAAGAAGAAAATGTCTGTTTATAAAACAATGTCTGTTGAATAATCAGCATCACGCCGCCACAGTTTCTGCCCACCACCGTGGGCGGCTGCAGCCAAAGAAAGCGGAAAAAGCGTTTCAGACCTAGAGCAGGGCTGAAACTCTGGGGCTAAGCTACCCTGAATCGCCTGCGATCCCTCTCATAAGGCAATAATGAGCGAGAGGACAGCCATGAAGAAAGTAAGGAGAGGAAGAAAGGGAATGAGAGGAGAGAGAGTAGTGGCGGCCTCAGACGTCGGCTTGCGTCGGAACATACATGCAGTTGGGACCGGTTAATCTCCAGCTCGAAGAGGCGGCCGTCCGTAGATCCGACGTACAGGAACAGCCTACCTTCCACTTCCTGAAGAGCCAGGCTTCCAATCTCGGTGGCCTCGTGGCTGTTATAGCGCGCCACAACCTCCGCGCTCCTTGCCTTGCCGCATCTACTCCTCATCTTCACCCAGACAAGCCCAGTCGAAACCGGGTAATCAGTGAAACCTGTGATGAACAGATTACAACCGTCCGATGTCGCTGCGATATCTGTCCGTGCAGAAACCCTGTAACGCCAAAACTGGAAAGGCTTAGTTTCCATCCCAACGCCCATCACACGAGTGAGTTTGGAGGTCGAGGGATCGACTCCAAACACCTCCATTTGCTCGTTATGCATAAGGTATATGCACTTTCCGCTAGACGTGACGCTGTGAGGGCTCAAATAAGCAACGCCGCGAATGGAATCTATCTCTGGATCAGGCGGGCTGCCAAGCCGGTGCACGATGTGAAAAGGGTCCCCCACCCTATCACCACCGTCCGATTTAACCGGGTAACCAGATCCGTCCACGTCAGTAGACACTAGACGGACCCATTGAATGCCGCCGGTGAGTAGGTCGGCAGGGGAGAGGAAGTTCTCAGAGGCGAAGAGTTTTGTCTTATTACGATCGAAAGCTATCCCATCAACCGAAGTCACGTCACCCGTCAGATTCATGATCAACGATCGACTGCCGTTGATCGTTGACAGAGACGTGAGTACCCATCCCTTGAATCCAGACGAGGCCAAGACCAGGTGCGTGCCATTCTTGGCGATGTCCATGCCGGAGAGCGTAGCCATCAACGACATGTTATTGTCTTCCTGGTACAGAATGGGCGATGAGACTCTCTCCCCGTCCGTACTGTTCTCCGGCCACCAGTAGCTTAACACTGTCTCGTCTGCTATAGGCTTCAACCCCTGCCTCACGGGCAGCAGATCTGCCTGTCGCACTGACATCTCTCTAAAGGTAAAGCTCCGCATGAAAATCCCCACTGACTCATTCGTTTCTAAGTTTTGTTGATAACTATGGTTACTTGTGATGCAGATCTGCTCGAAGATAGAGAAAAATCGCGTGCTGTTGGGGAGGAACACTATATTTCTATAAAACGATTGGCACTCATAACCCAACCCTGAGGAGTAGTTGAATGGGGACGGGGTGGCATTGAAGGGCGCCTCGGGTGTGTGCACGAGCACGGCCCTCGGCGTCCCAGCTGCGCCGTTGACGTCACGGACAAACAAATCCTGCTTGAGAAGCGCGATGGACGGCGACAGATCTTCTGAAGCGAGCGACCGGTCGTCGGTGGGACGCATTCCGGCGCCGGGCGAGCCCCCATGACCGTTGGTGTATGATAGGGAATCCCCCATAGCCATGGCAGATGACGGGAAACGATGACGGTCTGGTATTGTCTGAGCGACGGCGACGAAGCCGAGCATGCAACTGCAGAGTGTGGACAGGAAGAGCAGCCGCAATGCCCGCTGTGCTATTGCACAGAAAGATCCGTACAGCGTCCACCAGCGAACAGAGGCCGCCATATCCGCCGACCTCGTTCCCGAACGGTCGAACCAGAACCGTTTATCTCGTTTCCGTTCGGTTTCCCAAAAAAAAAACACACACAAACGAACTGTTTCCCCAAAACAAGAAAACAATGCTGTGATCCTGGTTCGTTGATGATGGAGAACTCAAAATCAAGACAATGCCTTCGCTTCTCAAGAAAGGAGAGAGAGAGAGAGAGGAAGTAGACGAAGGAGAGAAAGGGGAGGAGGCGGCGACGACGACGACGACGACGACGAAGAAGAAGAAGAAGAAGAAGAAGAAGAAGAGGAAGTCACATTTAGGGCAACGTCATTCCCCTGCTCATGTAGCCAAGTCATCAACACTCTCAAACTGGCCGCCTCCTCTTATTCATCATACGACATGAATGAACGAACTTAGACTCGATGTCCGATGAATCTTCCACTGCGCCTCTGGAAAAACTTCATCCTTTTCCCTGTCCACCCCTCTTCCCACTGATAGCACTGCTGCTTTGTCCCATGAATCTTCCACTGCTGCTCTGGAGAAGTACCTCCTCGTCCCTCTTCACCTCTCTTCCCAACGATAGGACTGCAACTTCACAGAGAACATCTCCCCAATAAAGTCACACGCGTGAATATGACACATCAATGAAGTGCTTCGAGACATCCGGGTCGCCGTTCCACTGGCCGGGCACAATACGGAGATATAACCATGGGGCCTCGCTATGTCACAGACAATACGGAGATATAACCATGGGGCCTCGCTATGTCACAGACGTTAAAAAATCGAACGTGAGCATGGTCCGACTAGTAGCACGGGATGGAGGGTATGGTCCATCCGGTGCGACACTGTGTGGCAGTGCCACGACGAGGGAAAAAAAGAGAAAAAAGAAAAAAAGAAGTGGAAAAGAGACCTCATGCCGGAAAAGTGGTTGAATTGTGAGGTCCCCCCCTCGTCCCAATGTTTTGCAATAAATGGTTAATACTTTCCAAAAAAAAAAAAAAAAAAAAAA